CTATTCATGTATGGGGAATTTGCTAGATTTTTTTTATCCGTAATAAATGTTTATCTAAATTTAAAGATTTTGTATCTTATAGCAAGAATTTTGTATCTTATTCAAATTTTTTGCTTGTCTTAAATTAAACACACAATGCTTTTAAAAGTAAGAAACTATTCAAGTAACAATATTTGCTCAAAAAATGCCTTATTTTTATTTGAAAGAAAGAATAGGGTATAAAATATCTTAACTAATCTTTAAATCATACAACGAGTAGAAGAAAGAGAAAAAAAGGAAAGAGTCTAAAATACTGAAGAACGAAATATTAATGTAAAATAATAAAATTATGAAATAAAATTTTTAAGATTTGTTTTAAAACATAATAAGCTTTAGCTCAATTCTTATATTTTATTTTTATAGTTAGTTGTAAGGCGTTAGCAAATAATTGGCTTATAATAATAGTTTTTTCCGTCGATTTTCGAAGACATTTATAGCTAAATCTAAAGCTTTACCATTCAGAATAATTACTTTGCTAGGTCTTTAAACACAAATGTAAAGATAACTTTTCCAACGAAAGTATTTGCATAGTTTGAATTCTTCAGCAATTTATTTTAAGTATTTCCAAAAATTACTTTTAATGCATTCAAATTTTGCAATTAAAATTGGAATAATGAAGTTTGCTGAGTGAATTCAACAATTCGAAATAGATTTTTTTTTTAGTAAAAAAAATTAAAACTCGCTTTAAGCTTTTATGACAGTAATTTGCATTGTTTTTTTTTTTTTTTTTTTTTTTTTTTAANATTTTTTTTTTTTTTTTTTTTTTTTTTTTTTTTTTTGCAAAAACTATTTGCATTTGTTTAAACACATGATCTGCACTGAGAAATTGAGAAAAGTAAAAAATTGTAGAAAAAAAGTTTATTGTTATTATTCTACATTAATTTACATTTTCAAGTTTAGTTTTTCAGCAAACTTGACTAATAACATAAAACAAGCAATCTTGGTGTTATAACAATTGTTAAACAAACATAGAGCATACCAATGAATTAAATATATAACTTGGTAATTAAAAACGTCTATAATAAAGCATTATAACGTATTATACTATACTTTTTAATATTTAGCAAGAAAGCGTGGTGTTTTTAATGCCAATTTGTATGCAGTTTTAAAGAAAGTATACAATTAGTGTTAAATATTAGTTTTGGTTTTGTTGTAAGTTGTTTAACGAATAAATCTCATAAATTTGAGAGGATAAATCTCATTTTTTGGTATAAGGTTGTTCTCATTTTTTTTCTATTTATTTATTCTAAAATGATTTACTTAGTAATTTGTTTTCATTCAACAATTAGTACACCAATGAGCCAAATCAGCAGTTTATCATTTTTCCCGCATCTCTTTTAGATACGTATTTTAAAATTTACATAAAAACATTTAGTATGTGTTTTCATTAGATTGAATTTATTACTATTTCTAAAGAAACCTGGAGTGAATCAGGGTTACTTGTATAATATATACTTTAAAAATACAATATAAAATAGTTAATAAAAATAGTTGCTAAGGTTTATATGTTCCTTTCAGATTTAACAAATTCTTATAATAAAATTATATTTTACGAAAACAATTTCAAAATCCGAAATTTATGTCCAATACCCTTGCCATCACGGTGTAGAACAATATAAATGACCAAAAGAGAGATTGGGCATTTAATCTGGAAGTAAATATTTGAGGAATAGAAGTAACAAGAGATTGAATCTACTCAATGCACAGTGGGCCAGCATCCAAGGTTTCGTGATCAAAATACGTATTTCGATAAAATTTGTTTCCAAATTTGGGAGGTTTTATTTAGGGTTTTTTATGTGCAGGTAAATTGAATTCATAGTTGAAATTTTGAAATTCACTAAAAATACCAACAAAAACAAAATGGCGGCTGAAATATGGCGGGCAAAAATAAAAAAATAATATAGTACGCTTAAATAATTAAATATAGCAATGGAAATATATTAATTTTCGCAATTTTATATTAAAAATGAAAAGCAAATTATTTTTCCGATGTAATATTACAAAATAACGCGAAAACATGAAAGAAAACATAATTTTTGTTTTTCGATATATTTAATCCACCTTTGCAATACGGGCAAAGTGGGGCAGGATTTTTCAAAAGAAGAAACATCAAAGAAGACAACAAAAAAAAGTTTAGCTAATTAACTCGTGGAACTTTTTGGAACTAAGTTTCGAGAGTCATTCAAACATTGTAAAATGTCAAATAGTAAGATATAAACTATAAGTTTGTCAAAAGTATTAACTAATCCAACAAAATGAAAAATTGCACTATAATTTCAGACTCTGATAAAAATGTAACAGTAAGGTGAAATTCCTATATATATTTCTGAAATAAAAATTTAAAAGTTACATTAAAGAAAAAGAAATTTACATATTTTTAATGAAATTGTACTCTCGTCGGTCCGAAAAGTAAATTATAATGTTTGGAATAATTATGAATACTTAATTTGAGCTATATTAAAACTGCCCACACATATTTTAGTTGAAAATTTAATTTTTGACTTTTGGCCAAAGATAGTCTTTTGGCCCACAGTGCAGTGGCTTAATCAAAACATTTTCTTTCCAAATGTCCACCCTCAATTTCTTATTCATCTTTTGCCTTTCTATCGAACCTTGGTTCAAAATAAAACAGATCCTCACATTCCTTTGCTTATCTAATGAGCATTGCGAAGAAATAACTTTGACACCCTGAATAACTTTTGATCTAATAATCGATATTTCACGTATTATCGAATGGACAGGTACTATTCCCGGCTATTTTTCTGCAATTTCAGAATGAATATTCCAACTGTTCGACTGATATTGTTCAAATTTTGTATTTTGTCATTTAAAATTACATGAGTTAAAGTGATATGAAAAATTTTTTGCCTTAAAGTTCAAAAGCTCATTAATAATAAGTAATGTTGCTGTTGTCGTATGTCACTTGCCAATACTAGGAAGCCTATTTTAAAGCAAAAGGGTGCACTTTTTCTTGTTTTCAAGCGATGCCATCTATGGATACCCTGCAAAAAATGACCAATAGAAATCAATAAAAAAAATGTATTGATCTGTACGGGGAAATGGAACACTGATATCAATAGAGTAGATCAGTACAATGGACTGGTCATGATATATTGATATCAGTAGAGTAGGTCAACACAATGTATTGGTCTATATCAGTAGAATGGACTGATATCAGTAGAGTGTACTGGTCTGTACGGGGAAATGGAACATTGATATCAGTCGAATTTACTGGTCTGTACAAGGAAATGAGACATCATGGTCCCATCAGAAAAATAGACTGGTCTAAGTTAGGGAAAACAATATTAATGAAAGCATATTAGATAGGTTTAAACAGGAAAATGCAACATTGTTTATCTTTTTTAAAATGCAAGATTTAGCTGAATTGGTCAAATGCTCTGTATGCACCATAGTAAATTTTCTACTAGCTGCAGCCAGTGGAAAATTTAATATAAATTAATAAAATATAACAGGACAGTATAAAAAAATACTTATTTAAAGCATCTAAAAATGTTTTGAATATTTAAACACTGCTTAAGTGGAAGGATAAAAGAATTATATTCTAAAAAAACATACTTCTTTATACCTACACTATGCTAGTTTTAAAGTTAACTTTAATTTCCTTTTCATATTTCCAATTTAATTTTAAATATAATTTATTACTAAATTATATTTTATTGCTTAATATAACTATAAAAATAAACTTAAAATGTGAGTTCAAGAGGGTACCTTATTGGAAAAAATTCCTGGTATAAAAAAAATCATGCCGGCGTATGAAACACCGGTTCTGGTATGATACTGGATCGGGAATTATACCAGACCCAGCGTTTCATCAGCCAGTATCATACCGAAGCTGGTGTTTCACAAGTTAGCAGGATACTGGCTCCGGTATAATACCTAAATTGTAGTTTCATTATCTAGTATCATGCTAGAGCCAGCATATACTGGTACTAGTGTACTGTGCTCAGCATACTGGAATAGTGTTTTAAAAACCGGTTTATTCTTAAAACAAGCGTATCAAACTGTGTGTTACTACAGTTTGATACAGGATTGTTAGTGAACAGCTCTGAGCGGGAAAATAAAACATTGATACACAATTGGGTAAATAAGTTAAGTCACCTGATCTATACAAAGAAATAAAATACTGACATCAATTAACACTTTATCAAAAACTATAGTTTGCATTATGTTTATAAAAACAAATTAACTTTTTTTTAAGCTTCTTTATAGTTAATTAAATTTTTTTAAACAATAAATTAAAATGTTAGAAAATTATTGTCAATAATTTTTGAATCTACAATACTACACAAAAAAATGTTTTGGAGATGGATGGATGGATTAGAAATGTTACTTTATAGATAGCCAAAAACCTGACTAAAATAAACAAGTCAATTTATTGTCATTTCAAGACCCCCCCCCCCCCCATTGTGTTTGACATAGCATTCTAAGAGTAAAAAGTTTCAATATTTAAGAAAGAAAAAAATGACAGAACAATCTTAAAGTATACCATAGGCTTTAAATCCTTATACACACAAATGATATACCATTTATTTGATTTTTATCTATAGATAGCTTGTGCTAAGCATTTGTCATCTTACCAAATATGCTAAACTTGAAATTTGGCAAAACAAAAATGTTATTTTGGGGAAAGTATTGGCGAATGCTGTTTTTGAACAAAAAGAAAAATTTATCCATTCATTGTTCATTTACTCCTCCCCAACAGCAAAATGATTCTTAATTTGTAGTTGCATTTTTATAAAATAATTCAATTTATAATAAATATGCATTTTCCTACAGAAAAAATCAATCATAAAAAAATTGTTAAGATTTACCTTTGGCTTAGAATTTTAAAAACTGGCTAATAATTTTAAATCCTTAGCATGGGTTATGTATATATAGATAGTAATATCATAATTAAAGGTCAGTAATTAAAAAGAGCAGGTAAACAAAGAAAACACAACAACAGCAGCAAAATTATAATGGAAAATCATACTTAATACAATGGGAAATTAAACAGTAAGAATAACCTAATCCAAATTTGCAAAAAATTATAGTTTAAAATTAAATAAAATTAGCATTATTAAGAGAAAATAATAAAACGTCATAGTAAAAGGTAATAATATACAGATAAATTTGCTATACAGAGTGAAGAGTATATTAAGACTCGTGTAATGTAGGTATTTATAAAAAAAGTTCACATGTTTCGCACAGAACTTTTAAATTAAAACATATTTCAAATTTCGAAAAAACCGAATCACACACTCTTTTTCAATTTTCACTACTTAACACAGTCAAAATAATTCAGAGCAATAGTAACGGTTATTTCAAAATAGTATCCGGTAGAAGAAATGCTCTAGATAAAAAACTTGGCAAAGCATTGCAGAGGAGGCCTAACCAAATCTTTTTCGCAGCATCCACGTCTGGCTCATTCATTATATTTTAGTCTATCACTCTTACAATGGTGGAGAAGATATCATCAAATGGTGGAGAGTAAAAACGAGTGGAGGAAATTAACAGCAGTATTTGTGAAGTGATCAGCTTTATCATATCCAGAAATGTCGCAATGGCTCAAGGAATAGAAAGTTTGCACTGACCACAGTGCTGACGTAAAATATCCTTAGTGGTAGACGGATCATGACGCCAGACTAACCGTGACATGTTTGCCTGGTTTTCTTCTCCATGTACCCCAAATACAAGTCTTGTCATGCATTCCATTCAGCTAGAAAATTTTAAACAGAACTTATCAATGTAAAAGTATTTTATTTGAATAAGTTGTTAAAAGTTTTCATCACAATGTACACAAATACATTCATGAAGATTTTATTACATTAAGAATAGGTTTAGCCAAAATAATTTTTAAATTTAATATTATTGATAATTTAATATTATTGAACTAATTTAACACGTTGAATGCCATAGGGGTCACCAGTGACTGGCGCTGAGTTTGTTTGTAGCGCCCCAGGGGTCACCAATGAACGGCGAAGCCTAGATTATTAGAAACGCATAATTAGAATAAATTTTTAATGCTCCTAATTTTTTTATATTATTATCATTACTAAGAAGAAGGTTAGAAGAAATTAGGTTGGAAGAAATTAATGCAATACATACTGAAAAAATCATTTTGGCCAGACGGGCAAGCCGTGTAAAATTAGCGTGGCATTCAACATGTTAAAGAAAAGAAAAAAAAGTTAAATCCAGCTAAGATTAAATTCATAAGAAAGTGTAAGGATTGTTTTTAACCCATAACAAAAATGGAGTAAACAAAGAAAATTTAAATGCAAATAGAAAAGTAATTATTTATAAAAATAACTACTTATAAAAATAATTATTGTTTATAAAAATATTTAATAATTGAAAATTTTTTTTGCATTTGCTTGAACACAGTCAAGACAGAGTAGCAAAAAAATATTTAATTATATCATTTAGTTATACTAATAACATAAATTTTATGTAATTAATTAATTATACTAATAATATAAATTTAGATTACCCAAACATTAAATTGCCTTTCAGAGAGAAAAAAAAAAAATTTCACTGTATATAAAGTTTTTACACATATCTTTACCTTAAAATCAATATATATTTTTTGTAAATATTGTTATCAAGCTTCGCTTCATATTTTTTGGCTACAGTTCAGGAAAAGCATTAAAAATAACAAAAGAATTTGTGATTAACACTTAAAATATAATGCAAAGTTTAAAAATATTATACACAACTAAATAAATAATTAATTTGTTACTAACGATGATATTAATGGGAATTTATGTAAATAACATGTGAACAATGTGCTTCTATTAAAGTCTCATAAAGAAACCCAGAAAAAAAAACATAAAAAATACTTTCTTCTCATGCAATGGATGGAATCTGTATATGATATACGAGTATATCGTAACCCTACCTATGCATGCACATGCAGTAATAATTCAAGAATAATATACATGTATAGATAGCTTAAAATATCAATAAAACTCAAGCATACGTTTTAATATTTCTGTAACTAACAAAGATGTAAATAAAAGTAAGAAATAAAGAAAAAATTACACTTACTAAAATATTTCTCCCCATAATATGCTTCATTCTTTCCATGACGCTCTATTGTAAACATTGAACGTAAGTCGAAGTAATGTGATTGGCTGTAACTTCAGACTGAGAAACGGAATGAACTGGGGAAAAAGTTGAAAAGGAACTTTCTCAAAATTGGGAGTGTAGGCAGCTTGATATGATTTAACGAACGATTAAAACAGATTTAACGAACGATTAAAAGTCGATTCTCGTATTTTGCATGCTCCCCTTTCGTTTCTGAATTAATAACTCCTTTTTGCTTTTATAGATTCAATTGGATTGAATTAACTATGTTTCTACAAAACAAATTTACTTATTTAATTCAAAAAAGTTTATTTTGTTTTATGATCTAAATTTATTTAAAACAAATTTCAAAAAGGGACTGAAATTTATAAATTTATGATGGCGAGGTTAATGTTTGAAGGTAAAAAGTTTGAGATTTTACATGAATTTTTAATTTATGTAAATGTATTTCTTTTGCTATGAAGTTGTTTGAAACCTAAAATAATTAATTTATTTTGCGAATAGTTCTAGTTTAGTATAAATTCAATAATAATAATAAATCAATAAAAATTAATAACAACTTATAATAAAATTTAAAGTGATACAATTAATAATATTTTTTTTTGCCATCATGACTTTGATTAAAATAAATTTTGTAAATTACAAAATAAATAAGTAAGTAAATGATAAACTAATAAAAACAAGTTTTATTATTAAATTACTTTTATTATAAAATTACTTTCATTTGAATGACTTTAAGCAGATTTTAAAGTTATTAAAATGTGTAAAAGTTTTACTCAAAAACTTCCTTTCTTCCAAAATTATAAAATGATTTTAATAATTTTAAATATGTATTCTTTAATTAGTGCACATAGAAAGTGTACGTTTTCACTACCCTTAATATATATGTTAAGAATCCTTATAAAAATCTAAGAAATTAATTATCGGAAATCAGTATATAATCAAGAAAAAAAAATTATAAAATAATGAAGAATTATTAACTAAGTAATCTAATTTTAAAAGGTCGTAACCTGTTAGATTTCTGGAAAAATATGTATTGTAAGCAAACGTATGTAAAGTAATTCTATAGGCACCTGTTGATGTATTAATGAAAACAAATATAGACTAATAAAATACCTATTGATCAATAATTGCTAAGTTTTACTGGTGTCAATAAAAATCTGTAGATATCAGTTCATACATTGATAAAACAAGTAGAATACCTAACTGATCAACATCTATTGATACAAGTACCCTACTGATGTCAGTAGTCATCAGTTGAAGTGTGAAATACAGACAAGTATATACCAATAGAGTACCTACTGATCAATATCCATTGATACCAATACACTGCTGATATCAGTTGAAATGTCAATGGGAACAAGTACAGACAAATAGAATTCTATTGATCAATATCTATTGATACCAGTACACTACTGATATCAGTTGAAATGTCAATAGGAACAAGTACAGACCAATAGAATACCCTATTGTTCAACATCTATTGATGTCAATACACTACTGATATCAGTTGACATCAGTTGAAATATCAATAGAAACAAGAACAGACCAATAGAATTCTATTGATATCAATAAATGTTTTTATTGATTTCTATTGATCATTTTTTGTAGGGTAGGAATTCGAAAGTAAAAAGCAACAAATAATTATTAAAATTTATTTTGTACATGACATTTCCTTAGTATACATTGAATTTTCTTAGTATATTGTGGGAAAAAACTTTTTGATTCGCATAGAATTCCCAAAATAGCTCAAAATAGGCAAAAAGTGTCATTAGCATAAAATGCAGACCTTCAACTGCTCTCTTAACTAAATTATGGGAACCATATTTCTCATGATGCTGCTACCTCTCATATTTTGGGGGCTGGAATTCTGAATCCGTTGACGAAAAAATTATACTTAATACGAAAAAGTAGTTTCTGTACTTGATTTTGTAGATATTGTCTCTACTTATTAGTATTATTAATGTTAGCCTATCGAGAAATTAAAATTGAGTCCCAGTGCGTGAAAATCTGATCCTTAAATCGAAAGTTCATTTGACGTACTATAAAGGTTTTGAACAATTTTCAAGAAATAGTTTTTTTGAACGCTTCTGATGGGCTCAATTAACAGCCGGGAACTTTTTTTTGACAGTTTTAATAAAATAAATTTCTCTCTCTATTTTTTTTTTTTTTTTTGAATTCTTCGTTAAATTCAAATCATGTTCTCAATAACTAGTTTTTTTCTTAGTAAACTAATTAAAAAATACCTTCGTTAAATCAAGGCTTACGATTCTTAAAAGATTCTGATTATATTTTTAAATATTAACTTGCAGAAGAAAAACATCTACTTACAGGTTTGCTATTAAATATATACATATATTTGTGTTTTAAGTGAAATGTACAGTGCGCTAAAAAAAGAACCTCCTTGCGAAACTTTTGATCCGATGATCGGAACTTTACGTTCTGACTCAATCTTAAGACTAGGGACTAGGCTCAAGGGGTGACTTCAAATAAAGTAATTAATAAGAGCAGACGGTATTTTAAGTTACGAAATGAGATGCAAACGTTCTTTCTCTGAATAAATGTACCTTTTTTTCGACGGATTCGGATCTTTCACCCTAAAAATATAGAGGATAGCCGCAATCTGGTCAATATGGGCCGAAAAGTTTGGTCAAGAGTGTGCTCCAAAGCTAGGACCTGTTACGAATGATTTCAAATTTGCGTATTTCGCTACATCTCGAGAGCGTTTTAAGCGGTTAAAAACATTTTGCACACAATTATAAAATTCGCTTATCCAAACATAATTCTACGTAGAAAATGACTTTTAGTAAAAAAAAAAATTTTTATATTTTACTTAAAAATGGTCGAAAACAATTTTGTATTGTAAAGCATGAAGTTTTTTTACATCATTTCAATGAATATAATTAAACATGGCAAAGTACGACTTTTGAGCAAAATCGCTCGAATAGTTCATGAGAAATTGAATTTTGAAAAAGTCAAACAATTGAAATTCAATTTCTCAGGAACTATTGAACCGATTTCACCCAAATTTTGTATTTTACCATTTAAAATTTTATACTTTAAAATGATAAGAAAATTTTATACCTTACAATTCAAATTTTTTTATTCAATGAAGTAATGAAAAATACTAAATATTTACTGGAATTTATTCTTTGCATAGAATTATCTTTGGATAAACGAAATTTATAAGTTTGCGCAAAACTTTTCATTCCGCTCAAAAAGTTCTCGAGATATGGCGAAATAAACAAAATGTGAAATTAATATTAAGGGATCCAAACTAAGAATCGCTCTCCTGACCAAACTATTAATTTTTGAAATAAATTTTATTATTCCTGACCATATTTCCCAGATTGCGGCTACCTCCTATATTTCAGGGATCAAAAATCCTAACCGTTGAAAAAAGGATATGTTTATTCAGAGAAAGTTCCTTTTTGCGTCTGATTTCGATACTTACTGCCTCTTATTAAAAGCACATTTGATGTCACCCCCTCAAGCCATTAAGATTGAGTCCTAGTACGTGAAGATCCGATCAATCGATTGAAAGTTATTCAAGGTGGTTCACTTATTTTTTTGCAATTAACCCACCCATTTGTATAAAATAAAATTTCTCTTTTCCTGTGCACTAAATAAATAAAATCACTAAATTTATTGGAGTAATTATGAAAATATACCAGCATGCAAAAAAATTAAAAGACTGTAAATTCACCAAACTTTGGTTCTACGTGCCTGTATTTTCCACGTAGTCTTCGAATTGAAGGATTATTTTTAAAGTTACTAAGGATAAAAGCATATCTAGAGAAAAATATTTCGATTCGTTTACCAAAATTTATAATAACTCAATACAAAAAACTATTAATAAGACTTGAAGTGCTGAAGAATCAGTATAAAATAATAAAATAATTTTATATATACTTAAACATAATCTTATTTTTTGTACATAATTACTTATTATGACATTATTATTTTACAAAAAATGAAGTCTTTTCGTTTTTATATGATACGATATCCTTTCTAATTAATTCTCAAAGCAACAGTTATGTAGAAAGAAATTTTTGAGTTAAAAAATAATATTATTTTTTTCACTATTCTTTCATTAAGGTAAGTCTTTAATCTGCGGCTTGCTTTTCATATTTTAATTGGCATATTCAAGCAATTTCTTTTTTTTTTTAATTCGAAATATTTTTTGTCCAATAAGGTTAATAAATTCGCATTAAATAGTTAAAAAATTGCAAATCTTTGCTGTGTGAAAATACTCATATTATTTCCAGTAAGCTAATTATTTCTAATTAAATTTAACTATTATAATTATCATTATATACAAGTAAGAATATTTCTTTAATCTCGCTTTAACGTTTGCAATATGGGAATTTTAATACTAGTATTATTATTATTAATAATCTGCCATTTCTAATAAATTATAAAAGTATTATCATATTATAAGATATATTACCATTTTATTAGGTAAAGGCATAACAATCAAACTTTTGAAATTTCTATAATAATAAAATTATAAAAAATATCATATTATAAGATATATTACCATTTTATTAGGTAAAAGGCATAACAATCAAACTTTTAAAATTTCTAAGAAAATCGTAAAATGTATGGATACGCTTATCGTGATTTTTCAGAGTTAAGCGTTTCAACCATTTTTTTTTCTTTTAAATTATTGTCTCGGTGCTGTATTTTTACTGAATGTGGGATAATAATCTTAAAAACCAGGCATTCCAGAAAAATATTTCCATAATGAACGGGCAAGTTCTGGAAAATGGCTGTTGCTTTGGCACTTTTGCAAAATTCGTTTCCATCAAGCTGCGTGGCAATTGCTACGAGATTAATTTCAGTTATGTTCAAGTAAGCAATGTTGTTATTCGATCAGTCAGAAATCAGCAGATTATAAACCATATTTCTTCCCATATCATTAGAGCATTTTCTCCAGTCCATTAGACCATTTTCCGCTTAGTTTCACTATCCTGCAGGAAACAATATATATATNAGATATATATATATTATGTTCAAGTAAGCAATGTTGTTCATCGATCAGTCAGAAACCTGCAGATTATTAACCCTATTTCTTCCCATACCATTAGACCATGTTCTCCAGTCTTGACAATCGGGAAAAGATTATCTGTATTTAGCATTGTACTTGGTTTTAGACACTTATTTCCATTTTTTTATGGCGAAAATAATAAATTTACTTTTATTAAAAATATTACATTTTTCCAAAAATCAACTATTTATTTAAGTGCTTAACATAATTAATTTTCAAAAATCTCATCACTCAAGACATACGCTTGCATTAAAAAATTTATTTCTGACTGTCTAGCTTGAAAGAAGTGGCGTTATAAGTTATAACCTGTGAGTGCAGGGGGGATTAAGCTTGGTTTTATGGAATTTATTGATTTTAAAATTAACAAAAGTCATTACCTAAAACTTCTCGAGCAAGGGCCGAAGCCTTTGATGTTGTTGTGCCATCGATGACCAAGAATTCGCCTTCTGCCAAACCCATACGTCACACCCGCTTACAGGGTGGACCCAA